ATAAATAAATATCGTTAGAAATAATGGATTAATTTTTTTGTTAAAAATGTCGTTTTTTAAGATGGCAGGCAAGTGTAAATAAATACATTTACTATGAGTATAAAATACTAAAGTAAGGTTATTATTACTTTCATATAGCAAAGAAGAGAATAAAAACACCGCTATAAAAACTTGTGCCAACGTTTAATTAGATTAAAGTATTACTGAAATTGAAATCGAAATAAAAAACATCATCCAACATTTAAAAGAATTAGAATATTATTAAATTTAAATACTTTAAAATACGTTATATAGAATATAATATATATATATATATATAAAATAAATACATTTACTACGAGTATAAAATACTAAAGAAAGGTTAAATTATTACTTTCATATAGCATAGAAATAGAAATAAAAATACCACTATAAAAACATTGCGCAAACGTTTAATTGGATTAAAATATTACGTAAATTGAATATCGAATTAAAAACCATCATACCAACGTTTAAAAGAATTAAAAATATACTTAAATTAAATACTTTAAAATAAGTAAATAAGAACGCTTCGTACACTAGAGCTAAAAATGACAGCAATTAGTTTATTGCTCGGTAAAAAAGGGAGGAATGTCTAATAATTTTCTTTACCGTTACAGCGGTTATTTCTTCCACCGTTTTTCACGGTGGCCACGAAATAACCGCATATACGGCCGTCCTCAGAATCGGCTCTTCTAACGGTCTTCACATCTGTGGATTCTACATTTCTCGCACTTTCATTGAAGAAACAATTAGCGACGTTTCACTTCAAAAATTTAAAATAAATTTCCTCTGACCCTTGTAAGAATTTATAAATAAATCTTTGATTAGGAAAGCCAGGCTTGGAAAAAATAAGGTCTCAAAGGGACAATTTTTTGATTCCGAAACCAAAAATTCTTGGTACTTATCAAAAACAACATTCATCTTTGAAGGAGACATTTTTGAAGGAATTCGAAGATATGAATTAAATTTTAAAATGGCGCGGTAATGCACAAATTTTCAGCAACCTATCAGGGAGCTGATTACAGCTCATTAATGCACAAATATTCTAAAACCAATCAGAGAGCTGATTACATCACGCCTAGAATTAAAATTATTTAAATAATCATACATAATAAAATCATTTTAAAAAGAAAAATGCAAAATTAAATTGTATTTTAATATTTAACAACCATAACTAATGTTTAAAACATTAGATTAATTAATTTATAGATATTAAAACCAATTACTTTTAAAGTAAGGTGACGTCACTGATTACATCATCCACAGCATAAAATTTCATAAAATATGATAAAGAATAAAATTTTTATTTCAACTAAAAATGCAAAATTAAATTGATTTTTAATATTTAGAAGCCATAAATAATATTTAAAACACGGAATTTATGCATAATAACACGCATTATTTTTTAAATAAAATGTCAACAAAGTATCGGTTACCATAAATAACTTATCCAGCAATGGGTTTACCATAAGTCGTATTACTCGCCAAAAGAAAAATTGCCAAAAACTCGCCAAAATCCATGCAACCGTCTACCAAAGTAGCACCATAACTTATCCAGCAATGGGTTTACCATAAGTGCTATCGTTCGCGAAAAAAAAATTCGCCAAAATCCGTGCAACCGTCTACCAAAGTAGCACCTTTCGCTCTACTAGTTTCCTATCAGTTTCACAAATTGGGCATTTTTACGATCTTGCAATCAAACGTTTCTCCATACACCACTCAATCACGCTATTTTTACCTCTTCGCTCCAACTGATAGAAAAAATCCAGATTCAGATACTCATCCATTCTGCAGTAAGCACAGAATCAGACACACTCATCAATAATCAAAACATTGTTTAAGTAAAAGAATTCTTTTCTGTATTTTCAGAAGTTACGGTTATAATTTTAAATCATGCATTCAATAATTTCAATCGTTTGGTAGCGTAACCAATATTACGTCATAAAAAGGCATGTCCAAGCCTAAGACAAGTAAACACCGCATCGACTGATGCAGCCTATTCTGCGATTTAGTCTTTCTTTGCTGTTATTGTATCTCATGGCAGAAGTATTTCACCTTGTATTCCATGTTTGGACTCCAACCTTTTTATTTTACTAACATTATTATTTTTTTTTTACTTTCCTGTCTTAGCTTAAAGTTATAGCTTCCTAACTAGATTTTAAATTGTTGTCAAAGTGGACAACTGTTCCCCCCCCCTTTGGCTTTGTCAGCGCTTTCAATTATCTCAAGCACACTTAAAGAGTTTTCAAAGTCCATTCCTGATTAGAGAGGGTTTTTTTTTTTTTTTTTTTTTTTTTTTGGTTTCGTTTTTTTTTCTCTGATAAGAAACAAATGTTCAGGATATAAACAAATGCTAAAAAGCTATAGAATAAACTGTGTTTGAACATCGATGAGTACAGGGAAGCATAACAAAGTAAATGAACACAGAAAATAAAGCATTTGTCCCGGTTATCAATGTCCAGGTGATATCAAATGTCCCAGAATAACAATTTTCTCCATGTCTGGAGATGAATTATTTCACTCGTTAAATCAGTATTGATAATGATCCTGATACAGTAAAAATAAATCAGAAAAAACTAAATTAAATAACGCAAGAGTTTTATTAACACATACTCCACACGCACAGTCCAACACATGGTTCGCAACTCAGACAGACAAAGTAGACAGATGTCTTGTAGACAGACTCGCTCGAGTTCAAAGTTACAGTTGAACTGCAGTTAAAAAACACAGAGTGAAAAATTAGAAACTTAAAACAATTAGAAAAATTATAAAAACACTTTAAAAATTAATTTCAATCAAACAGTATTTTTTACTTTACAATTAATCATTACTTTATTAAAATTTATTAAAAATTATAAAAACACTTTAAAAATTAATTTGCAATATTTACAATCAAACAGTATTTTTTACTTTGCAATTAATCATTACTTTATAATTTATTACTGTTTTCTACAATTTCAACTTATACTATTAATTCAACTTATTCATTACAATCGACAAGCGCCTGGCCCCAGCCACCACCCCAAGCTCTTATTGGACACGACTTCTGATGTCATACAGTGACGAAAAGAATTCTCCGCGGCATTATTGTGCGCCAAAAGCTTGAACCCGAGGTCATTTTAGCGCTGAAACAGGCAAAGCGATGGGCGATGATAGAATAATTTGCCATATTTGCGAAAAATTACAAAAATAAAAAGCAGCTTAAGAAATATATTGATATTAACAATATATTTAGAAAAAAGGTGCAAATCGATGTGCAGTCGATAACCGTTTAGTTCATTAGATGAATATCGAAGTCATTTGACAATAAACACTTTTTATAAGATATAAAAGTTAAGAAACAAAACAATAATGCATAAAAAACAGCATGATAACTCCAATTTGACAAAGTCAAATAAACGCTATTATTAGTGCTTTAAAAAATATCTATCACTTTACCTTATTTTTAACCATAAATAAGAGAAATGAATGCCTAGAATTAGAAAGTTAAAAATTAATCTGATACGAACAATTTTGATACCAAACAATAAATAAAAGGAAGGTTATTTTGTTAACAAACAAGCAATAACTAGCTTTTACATTTATATCACTTTTAAAAACACTGTTCTGCAAAATAAACCGCTAATTCATGAAAACTGCGGCAGACATTATTTACACAGTAAGAGTTGACATTGCTGACGAAGCAAATCTTGTTAATGGGCTCCTGCTATATGAAATTATACAATATATTTCTTAAATATCAGTAAAGCGCTATGAATTGCATTGAATACAGATTGCTTAGCCAAACGATATTTACGCATTATAAAGTTTTATCTATTCCATTAACATGATTTAACAATTTATATAAAAAGTGCCGACATATTTTCTTATACTGTTAGGTTCGTTTTAATTGCAAATATTCTGTTACATTGTACAAATTCACATTAACACAGGACATAAACAAATCCAAAGTAGTTATAAGTTCCCCTTGACATAACTCAAACGAAACAGATAATGGAATCTTTTCAGCCTGACGTCATAAACGGCAACCAATAAGAACAGGGGTGGTGGCTGGGGCCAGGCGCTTGTTTACAATCGCCTTGATTTCACACTAGCAGGCATGCCATCTTTGAAACTGAGAATAAACTGCTTCCTGCATAGTGTAGCCACCAGATGACCACCAGATGGCACCACCAGACTCGGTGAGATAATGAAGTGAAAGTTGTTCTAATACATTAAATAAATATTTACAGGTGCAAGACACTTATTTTTACTTAAATTATCAATAATTATACTGTACTATTTTTAATTTAATACTCTTTGCAATATTATGTTGATAAGCAAATAGCAAACGCAAAGACGTTTTCCGAATACGAACCCTGATCTGCAGCTACGGACAATCCCTTAGCAGGGGAAAAGGATCACGGTTGGCTGTCTCCCTAGAGGGAGTAGGTCATCGGATGATAACCATAGCCTAGTCTACCATAATAAGCTGTTTCTCCCTTTTTTGACGACAAGGCTATTCTCCAAAGAATTACCGTGCTCTGTTATTGGAACGGAGCATCCTGCCCTTCCCTTTTTCTTAACTCTATTTCATTTAGATTAGGTTAGTATATTTAACACCTCATTGAACATGCTATATATTTACAACAGCACATTAGAGCCTTATTATGGGATAAGACACAGGAATTTCTCCAGCATTTGACACATTCGTGGTTAGGTTTCTTCACTCTTCTCTTTCATCTTCTCTGTCTTACTTAAGCCCATAATTATTATAATTTTAATATAGCCTGGACCCCATTTTTTTTTCTTTTCAACTCACATTTTTTACCTGATTATAACAATTTCGTATCAAATGCTACAAAATATTTTCCTCTGAAACAAAATTGCTCTCTTTCTATATATCTATCCTCTGCACTTAAGCTTAAAATTTCGTCCTGAGGGCAAAAAGACTTAGCTAGTGTTAACTATCTGCTTTGTCTGTCTGTCAATTAAATCTATCTAATGCTTATGGACCATCGAATTAATTTGTCTCTACCAAACTAGTTAACGGAAGCTACGGCGCGAGTGACAAAATGAAACATTTGTATAATTATGTGAAGCGTAACTGAGTGTGAGGGTTTTGAAAGAAAGAGTGAAAATGTTATTCGTGAAGTGTGAAATATGTACTGATATAGTGTGAAGGATTTAATACTAATATCATAAAGTAATTCAGTTTTCAGCTTTAATGAAATGCATTTTTTTAAATTATTCAGCTCTGTGATGTTGTGATGCTATTATGAAAATTTCTAAATCTTACTTATTGAGGATGTTTGTAAGCGTGGAAGCCATAGAGAAGCATGGCGGATTTTAAATTTATTCAGATTCAAATAAAACATGTTCTTTGTATTTTAGATCTGTGATTTATTTTAAATGCTTAATTTCTTTCTTTCTTTTTTTTAATAGGAGGGGGAGCTTCATAAAGTAATTCTATTCTTTTCCTCTTGGTTAAAATAATTTAAACAATTTTTAAATTTTATACTTTTGTTTTAGTACAACTGCTTTAGTAAATGATGCCAAATTTAGAGAATGTGTGAAAATTTGTCACAATGCATATAATTAATTCCTCAGTTTTCATAAGCAATGTCACCATTTTTGTGTGTGTTCCTTTGTGCACTAGTGAAATTTGCTTGCAATGGGAGAAATTGCAGTAAAATTTCTGCAGCAATACAGTACTTTGCTGCAAAATTGCTAAAATATGCAACTTTTAAACTGTTCCTAAATTTATTGCCACAAAATTGTTACCCTAACAAAAAAAGAAAATGCCTGTATGTAGGTAGATTTATTGATTGATCTTTCCAGATAAATACTACTTAATTAAAATGCAAGTACTAAATGAAAACATTTTATTACATGCATACATTATTATGTAAATCATTGCCGATTTATAAGTAATTCATTTTCTGTAAGAAATCGCCAAACTTTGCTAAACGGAGCCACTGATATCATGTTGTAAAGTTGCAAAATGTAATTTGCAACTTTATAACATGATGATTTAATCAAAAGAATTTGCTAAATTGCCAAATGTTACACTTTTGTCAAACTATATAAAAAACTATGTCACCCTATTTGGTTAGTAACAAATTTATTACGATCTAAATTTAAAATTTAAGTGCTGTAATGTTGACTCTACATCAAATATGAAATATTTTTCTTGAATAAGTGATTCTATTGTATGGAATCTTCAGAACTTTCTGGATTTTAGATCATCAGTTTAAATGTAATAAGACCTGTAGGAATTAAAAAATTAAAAATTTGAAATAGTTTTAATCAATATCTACATAACTTTTTTGTGATTCACTCTTAATTGCCCTTTTTTACAGGTAATAAAAATTTTAACTAGAGGGAAAAAAATAAGGAGGTAAAATACTTAAATTATTTTTTTAGTTGTATTTCTAGGTAGCAGGCAAGCTCTCAGAATCTGACTGAAGTTAAACACAAGAATAGTATTTTAAGTGAAGCACTATTTTGTTTTGAATTAATATTATCTGCAGTTTTACCGTGCTTTTTGTGTTAAAATCATATAGTTGTATTATATTTAATTTAAGTTATAATTTTTTTATTATGTGAAACTGAAATTTTGGAAGAAATTTAAGTGTTTAATTTTCTTATAGATTGAAGAATTGAGAAGTGATCAAAGATGGGGGAACAATTTCATAAAAATTCTGCAGGAGTCCGAAATATGTCTTTGAAAATGAATACTAATTTTAACAGGGGTAGAAGTTCAAACTTTGCACAGTTTCAAACAGAGGGAAAAAATTCACACTTCAAACAAAGGGAATCACATCTTCAACCAGAGGGGAAAAATTATGCAATTTCACATGTGGATTCCTCATTTAAAGAGTCTGGTTTAGGCTTGAATAAAATACATCAAAAGTAAGTGTTACTGAATTATTAATGTTTTATTTTATGGACTTTATTGTGGAAATATATACAATTTTTAGTAAGCATTTTGTTTCTAAAATTGGAATGTATTTTTGTCTCATTACATATTCCTACTTTTAAACACATTTTTGAAAATTTCTGCATAATGAAAATAGAACAGTTTTTATTATATTAATCTCATATTGCATAGTAGAAGCTTATCTATCTAGAAAGCTTAGGAAATGCTGAATTTTGGATTTATGAAAATTCTGGATACTTGAGTGTATAGGAGATGGTATTCAAATTAGAGAAGCCAAATCACTGAGAAAATTTCTGCTCCAAAATTATAAAATAATCATCTTATTTATTACAAATTTGAATGCTGAAAGCCTACATTTAAATTTAAACAATATTTTTTTTAACCCTCTCAGCATTACGAACGGAAAAAATCCATCTAGAAAGCTGTCTTTTTTCAGCATTTAATGTATCCTATTTTGGGTTGGTTGTAAGAAGGAAAGGAATCAAGGTATAAAATGAGAGTTGTTTTTTTAATTATAATGAAGAAAATGCAATTTATTCATGACATTTTGAAGAACTTTGAAATTTGAGTGCTAAACCCGTAATGCTTGCAGGGTTAAAAAGAGTGGGTTAATCTTTGGATTATGGTAACTTGGTGATTTTTGGCGAAAATTTGGCGACCAACCCTGCTACAGCAACTTGCTAGTTTGTTTTTGGACGCCATTTTGTTTTCACGAAGAAAAGGCATCTTTTTTTTAATCAACATTTTTTTCTAACAATCTGCTAGCCGAATTACGCTTATGCTAGAACTTTTATGGAACAAAAGTGCTTAATCATGATGAAGATTAGGTGCGAAATTGGGAAGTGCAGAATCGCCCATTGCTTGCCACGTCTTTAAGAATTGCACGGTATCATCCATGTACACATTGACCTATTTTCACTTAAAAAAACATCTCAGAATTGCACAAAAGAGGCATTGCGTACACTCTTGACTTTATCCATGTACACTGCTAAAGTCCTAGCTAGTAACCTTTATCGCCTTACCAAAATGTCGCCAAACTACCTGTTACCATATTCCAAAGATTAGCCAAAAAGTGCATTTCAATCATAAAAAGTCTTATTTCAAATAAAAAATCCTGCCAAACATCAAAGTTGGCAGCAATGTCACAAATCATTCCAATAGCAGTACAAACAAGTAAATCATTCTTTATTTAGTGAGATAATAAAAAGATACAACTTGGAGTTATATAAAAAACTTTAATCACTTGTCATAATTTTTCACATTACATTGCCATCATTTATCCATTTTCAAAGTCATATGATTTCACTTTTTTATGCCTGGATTTCGAAACTTTCACAATCCTTTCATGAAGTCTAGAATATTAATATTTTTTTTTCCAAAATTCAAGGAAAAAATAGAATTTAGGGTCTTCTTTGCAAAACTTACACTGTCTTATTGGGAATTAATCAAATTTATGCTAAACCAAAAATAAACTTCTTATGATTGTGCTGTGCTGTCATACTTATCCATAATTGGCAGAAAAATCGCACTATTTGGTAACAATTTTAATAATATTACGAGTTCTTTTACAAATCTCTCATTTACTAAATTTTGGGAGGAAAACATTTTTCTAAAATTCTAGAAAATTCTGGTTACTTCAATTAATTGAAGGCTGGTTAGTCAGGATTGTACTGTATTTTAAATATTTAAATACTGAACTAAAATATGTAATATTTCATCTGTAGCAATCAATTATTTGTTTCTTAATTAATAATTTAATAACTTCTCTTTACACAACTTTAAAATATTTGTATAAACAAATTGCAATAGCAAGTTGCAAAATGTAATTTGTAACTTTATAACATGATGCTTTAATGAAAAGAATTTTCTAAATTGCCAGATGTTACACTTTTATCAAACTATATAAAAAATTATGTCGCGCTATTTGGTTAGTAATCAATTTATTAAGATCTAAATTTAAAATTTTTAAGTGCTGCCATGTTGAGTTTATGTCAAATATGAATGATTTCTTCTTGAATGAGTGATTCTATTGCTTATATTGTATGGAATCTTCAAAACTTTCTGGATTTTAGATCATCAGTTTAAATGTAATAAGACCTGTAGGAATTTGAAAATTAAAACTTTGAAATAGTCTTAACCCCCCGAGCATTATTGCTTTTTCAGGAAACGGCATAAAAAATAATCGTGTGTACTTACCAGGTCTGTCGCAAAAATGGCAAGTATTTTTACTCTAATTACTTAAAAGCGGGCCCCCCTTACCATGTGAATATAATTAAGCTAATTCCCCCGTCCCTTGAATTTAGCGAGTGAAATTAGTTTTTCTGCCTATGGTATCTTCGTCACAGGACTGGTTGCTAAAATGGTATTTTATCTCCTATTTGGCTACTTTATAATTTGCATACTAACACATATGCTGTATATTACTCGTACCATAATCACGATATGTGCCGAATACAGAAAGTTAGTCAATATACATCAGTAAGAGAAACTACGTAAAATGCTTTAAAATTCCAGTTTCTTTAAGGAATTGCTTCGATAATAGTGAAAAATTAATCTAACATTTTTTTATTGTTATTTTCTGAGAAAATTCTTTTTAATATGCAAAGAGAATTTGTGAGAATTTTTATCTCTCGTGTTCCAATTTTTCGAATACAAATTATTCGCAGCTTATTTTATTTTATGTTTATATTTAATTTTCAAATATAGTTAGTTATTTATGACACTGTTTTGACTTGTGAGAAATAAATAAAGTATTGTAATTGCAAAAGATTTCAATTTTTCATATTTCAAAGGAAATTTCCATTTTGACTAGTTCCATCATGATGTTTACACGTACTATGTCGCTTAACTTCAACGTAAAATGTTGAAATTTTATATTTGGGACTTATGACTAGTTTTAGCACGACTGTATGTCCGTATATATGTATGCATGTATATCGCATAATTCAAAAATGGTTAACCGTAGAATGTTGAAAGTTTCTGTATGGGATTGGTATAACATCTAATTGTGCACCTCCCTTTTTTATCGCAATCGGCAGTTTGAATGGAAGCTCGTACCTCATTTTCAAACGAAATAGGTTTAAATGAAGTTTAGCAAAAATTGTGTTTAATTTATTTGGCGTACAAAAGAAGTCATGTGGTATCCGCATCAGATTTTTTAAGATGTTTCAAAATAAATATATGGTTTGAATATCAAACGATCTCAAATATATGAGCTTTATTTGTTTGTAAATATTTTACAAGAGAGAGAAGAAATAATTTAAATAGCACACCATGAAGAGAAACACGTTAAATACACTTTTTTTAAAGCAAAATTTAAAGAATAAGTGATTAAAGTTTCTTTAAATCCCTTTTGTAAAATATTACATATGAAACAAGATATTGTTTTCAGAAAGACAATTTATAGAGTGATTAGGTTTTTGTGATGCTAAGGACGTGAAAAATGAGCAATGCCCTTGCTGGGATTCGAACCTGGAGCTCTCGAATATGCGCTGAGGGTGCTACCATTACACCACGAAGGATGCAGTGAGAAGTTAGAAAATACCTTATATACTCTGCCTTTTAAAGGCCGACTGGAGATTAGGAAACCCAATTGCAAATTCTGGTGGTAAAGAATCATCATCCATCCCCCCCCCTTTTTTTAGCTCGGACACTACCATAGAACATTAGGTTATTTGTGGAGGAGACACATGAAAAATGAGCAAAGCCCTAGCCGGGACTCGAACCTCTCGAATATATGCCAAATGCGCTACATTACACCAAGAAGGCATGCAGAAAGGAGAGAGAAAATACCCTTATATAACTAAGAAGAAAAGTATTGTTTTAAAATGAATATCGTACAATAATTTCCGCTTTAAATTGTCTTCCTGAAAAATATTTTTTGTAATATTCATTCTAAAATTCATGTAAAGCAATATTTCTATACATAAATTTGATATTCTTAAAGTTATGTTATCTAAATATATTTATAAGCAGTCAGTTAAAACATAATATAACAACTGCACAAAATCTACGTAAAGGTCCATTTCTATCATCTATTTCCATCTATTCTATTATCTGTTTCCATCTATTCTATGATCCCCCAAAATAGAGTTATAATTATCCTTCTGAATATTTGAACATGTAAAATATGCCAGTATGGCATATGCAAACAAGTAAAATTATCTCATTACTGTTAGGGATGTTGAATGTGAAACTTCCTTTAAAAAGGCGGCAAAACATATGACAGTTTTAGGTTAGTTTGTTTGATTACGGCAAAGCAAGAAAGTGTTATCTTACTAATGAAAGTATGCCTTCGGGGAGAACTTCCCAAGAGAAATTGGCTGGTATTAACGTTATACTGAAGCATCCATGCAGTCAACCTGTTTGCCAGAACTTGAATCGCTGTCGAACTACCAGTGTTCAACGTTATTACCGCTCGATCATTGGCTAGCCCATATCTATTTAGGAAAATGTGACTATGTTAGAATTTTTAAATCTATGTGACATGTAAATTATTTAGCTGATGCAATGTAATAGCAAATTCTTTAATGACTTGATTCTTGTAGTTTTCTACGAAACTGGGTCTTCTGATAGTCGACTGAATAAGACCACAAAATCTGATTCTTCGATACGAATTCGAATCATGGCGTACAACCTAACTACATAGGAACCTTTTAGGATTTCTCTGTGTGAAATACAATTATGAGCCAAGTTTCCTTTCAGATTCTTCCACGAAAGCATTCCACTTCTTAGTCAGATGATTCAGAATGTTTCATCGTTTTCAATTAAAACAAACAAGCTTCTTAGGAAGTACGACGTAGAAGTATACATTAATCATTTATTTTTTCCAAAATATTGTTATTAAAAATCTATTTAACAATGATTATATTGTTTATATATCCTATTTCGCGATTACAATACTTTATTTCTCGCAAGTCAAAACGGTGTCATAAATAACTAACTACTAATAAATTTATGATGCAATCTAAAG